GTTATACTGTTACCTCCCTATAACTGGCAAAGTCATGGTGTAAACCATGCTCCATATTGAACTCAGCACTTCCCATGTGTTCCTACAGCTCTGAGAGAAAGCACAAAGTTGGTAACAGCCCCTGTGCAATGGATAAGCAACCATGGGGTTTACATCAAACATGGGTGACTCTGAAAAGTAACATTCCCCTTGTTGCTCCTTCCCTCTCTTCATGAGTGTCTGGAGACTTTTATGGCCACAGCACCTTCCCCAGGGGCTACAGCTGCTGCAAACCTCCATTTCCCACACCCCGCCTCAAGGATTTATTTTTCCTTTCAGTATTCTGCCCTCTTACACCTGTTTAAGATTTTGCTTCCTCAACCCCATTGATGAAGTTCATACGTTACCTGCTAATGAAGTTAAACTACCTGGCCGGGAAATTGAGTTTTTCAGTTTTTAATAGCAAATGACAAAGAGTCTTGATTTAGTTAACTACTTAAGCTGAAATTGATCTACTGTCCAAATTCTCCCTTTATGGATTTCTTTATCTCAAGTAATATTTAACACATTCGTTTTTACTTTCCTTACGAGACTTTTATATTAGTTCTTCCTTCTTTCTGTTTTTTCTTCCTACACGTTGTTTCTGTAAACCACTAACCAACTTTGATGCTTCCTGTTCTCCATTTCATTCTTTTTTGCAATTAGGTTAATGAAAAGCTTCCAGTCAGTTGTATTGGCTTTGTTCTTTTCTATTGATTATTCCAGTCTTTTTAACACATTCCAATAGCTTTAACATACACTGGAGTTATTTTTAGGGACTTCCATTTGCATAGCCACCCTTCTTCACTAATAACCCTAAAGCCATGAATGGACCTGGCTGCACAACCTCCCTCAGATTCATTCTATTCTGTACTGCTGGCTTTTACCAAGAAGCTCAGCCTGAGCTGTCTGTAAAGTGTTTGCTGTGGGTTGATGCTGTGGTTACAAGTACTGGCATTCTGTCATCATATAAAATAAGCAGTAAGAGCTATCATCCTGGGCTAGAAAAGATCTGTGCAGGTCAGTGGAACATCCAAGTGACTTTCCAACAGTGGCCAAAAGTAGCTAGGAAATGAAGGGTACACGAAGGAGTGAGCACATCCAGTACCTCACCTAAGTACTCTCTTGGCCTCCAGTTATTTGCAGCTTGGGAACTTCTTCAGTCAGAAATCTACTTACTCAGTACTCTCAAAGGATTTTTCTTACATGAACTTGTCCAGTCTCCTCCACAAGCTTCACCTTATAACACATGTGCAAAGAATGAGTAATGCTATATGTTAATTGTGGTCAGTATACAGGGAAAATGCCAATTAAAAAATATCAATTCTGAGATTCTGAGAAGAATCCCATTTTAAATTTTTATAAACAGAATGAGATTAGTTTATTTTTAAAAATATATACGGACAAACATTTGAACTAATCAAAACTACTTATTGCTATCTACATATGAGAAAACACATCAGTACCATCAGCATGCTTTGCTTCCATGTGCCAGGCGGCAATTTAAAAATATTTGAATTAAAACAGCCCAGTGCCCGGACAAAAGCACAAGACAAACATGTTCTCACTAAAGCTGGGATTTCAGGATGTATTCCTGCATCTAAAATCAGAGACATTCCTCCCTGAAGGAGATTTTAGGAACTTTTTTGCTGCAGTTTCCCAAATCCTAGTGAAGGGCATCCAGTCAGAGTGGCCATCTGACATTTGATCCAACAACTCTCTCACTAAAAGTGTTGTGTTCCAGTTGATTTACACTCTTCCAACTCTGCTTCGTGTTTCACCAGAGCTCTGACCAGAAGATTCCTCATCCAGCTTCCTCCCCCTATCAACAGGACCAGTTGGAGCCAAGTCAAAGAGAACAATCCAGTTGTTTTGCCTTCATAGACTGCCTGGCCCTTTTGGGCCACTATTTCTTTTCTTTAATGGCTATATAAATTCCTTAAAACTTACAATCAACTAAAGGCTGAAATAACAAATCTTGTCCTGCTCTTCACAATAACATTCAAATTCACATACTATCACTACTCAGTATTTCATAAACTTCCCCTCATGAAGTTTTAACACTACAACATTCATATTTGCACAGGCAAAGGGAAAATGGTTACTGGAATTAATTTTGGGTTCTGTATCTACTTTTTTCATGGTTTCACATTATTTTTCCTTGGATATTTCTTTGACCAGTTCAATTTTATACAACATTTACATAGGACTGCTTAGAAATGCCTAGTGCTCTTAACCAATTATTAATCTTCTCCTAATCCTTACTAATATGTCATATTCTTTAAACAGCATGTAGAAAAAATACAACACTTAAGTTGTTGTCAACACATAGGAAACAAAATATATTAAAGTGCAAAGGAAAATAAATATAATTCAGTATTTATAAAAGAATTCAAGTGTTAAACTTTAGTATGAACAGCAAGCAAATAGAGGAGCCAAAGGAGGAGCTGAGAATTGAATAGTTCATCTTTGAGATATAACAAATATTTTCTAAATTTTCCATTTATTTTAGAAATGTGTTACAACTGCTAAAACAGAATTGTAGTCATTGAAGCACCGGGCTTGTTCAGAGTTCTATTGAAATGTCTGTCGAAACCAAAATGGGCTTTTCCATCTAAATATAAGAAATAGCTACCACCCATCAATGTTTTCCCAGACTGTAATACAGAAATTCCTGAAAACCCTTGTAATTCTCCTAAGAAGAATCAGTCAAAAGTGAGATTAAAAAAGCATCTGGGCAGGAGCCTTACATTCACTGCATCAAAGGATGCACTTCCACTTCAAGCATCAAAAAACACTAGAACTCACTACGTTTAAAAAATTGTATTTTAGTAATTTTGCTGCTTGACAGGTTTCTTCATGAGTATAGGGAAACCCCAGACTAACTCAGATACAAACTAGATGCTATAGGGAAGATTTTTGTAAGTCAATCTGCAAGCTTCAGAAAAGACTACATAAATATAACATCACCAAATATGACACCCTTTTGCTCAGTGGAAATTCTCAAATTTGAGGGAACACAACCACATCACCTCACTCAGATAATGAAACATAATTAAGACGTGCAAATGAATGAAGTATAGTAGCAAAAATCAGACTCTGGGAATCTCCCTCCCTTTCCAAAGCTGTTCTCCAGATTTTACTTCTTCACCTTTCAGCTGCTTTTGTAATCACATTTCATTGCTGTGAAAATGCTTAAGCTGAAGTTGCAAAGTACAGCAATGATGTAGGCTGCAAAGCACTTAGGATTAGGAGACTGCTTGGAAAAGGAAGCAACATGATCATCAAGTGAGGTCAAGCAGGTACAACTCAACAGAACTCAGTAAACCAATCTATTAATGACAAACCAAGGGGATAAGCAGCAGTCACCCAATTTAGCTGCACCAATATTACAGGGTTAGCAGGGGTAAAATACACAAATAAGTTTTTACAACTCTGAATTCTTTACTTTTTTTTTTTCTTCAGAAACAGCTCAAATTAGCAAACAGATTCAGTCTTCATAATCACATTGATTTAAAATTCACTGTCAATATGTAACAGGCTCTGTATCAGTTTCAGGTGCACCTAGGTAGGTTTCAATTTACATTTCAACACAAGTGGCATATAAAGCGTTAAGATACATTCTACACATAAAGGAATTGAAAATTAATTTTTAATAGTAATATTTTTTCCAAATATTACTACAGTGAAGCAGAATGAATAGGCTATTTATATGGTTTAGCAGAAGGAAACTCCAATTTATACATCAAATTTATATCCTTTGTTTCCATACCAATGTTTGGAACATATTAGATAGCAATAGATCTTCATACTACCACATTTCTCCCAAGAACAAGACCATAGAGCTACTAGTTGTTGATCTGGCTGATAAATCTACACAATAACCATTGTGGGTATAGGTAACCATGGTTCACTGTCAAAACCACACATGCTCTTTGCAGTTCAGTAGCCAGCACAGCAGTACTCTTCTGCCATTTCAGTACTACAAGTGACCACGTGAGGACAGAGGCCAATCTCATCCTTCTCTAGAGCTTTGTCCAGAGCACTTTCATGAGAAACTATTTCCATTTCTCTTTTATAGCTGGAACAGCCCAAGTGGTCAGTATGTCCTTGAGAATCAGACAGGCTGAAGTAGATCAACCCAAGCTTTTCCTGGTTTAACAGTCCACAAGCAACATGCAAATCAGACTGAATGAAGAAGAAATATGCAGGAGCCAGCATAAGATAAAGCTGTGTGAATTTATCTACATAAATTTATTTTGAAATTGTTTTCAGGACTACAGAGGATGAAAGTAGCTGCAGTATCTCTACAGCAGCACTGCTCTCTGTGGTCGTCACTTTCTCCTGTACTACCAAGCCCAGATGGAACATACCATGACTGTTCCTGTGATCCCATGGATAGAGGGGAGAGGGGGAAGAAAACACATTCATTTTCAGGATTGGCAACTTTAACTTACTGCTTAGGTGCACAGGAACTATGATCAACTACAAAATTCTTCTGTCTTCTGGCACATAATCTCCCTAAAGATGCTTACTAAGCATCATCTCGCCCCTTCCTCATTCAAGCTGTTTTTAATCTAGATACCAATGGGAAAATCCCAAGGAAAGAGAACAGCTAGAACACGTGCTTCTTTAGAGGGCTTTCAGTTTTCCCATCATTTTCTCTATTATTTCAGAGGTACTGAACCCACAGGACTTGATTACAAAGCCACTGAGTCCAGCTCTACGAGGCGCTGTGCAGCGGTGGCACTCGGGATGGCCACACGCAGTGGTTTCACCTCAACATACACTCCCCACCCCAGTACTACTACCAAGATCTGTGAGGAAATTTTCAGAACAAGCTCATATAGTTTTTCTCCAGTTATTATGTCCCAGGAACCTAAATGTGAAGTTTTAAAAATTTCCTAGTGTCTTTTACACATAGGTCTTTGGTAAGGAGCAATGATCATATTCTAAATAAAATGAGAAGAGAAATGGGAAAGTTATTGTCAAACCTGTGATAATCTTAAAATATTTTCATTCAGCTACACCTAAACAAATCATTCCAGACAAATACAGTTGGGTTCCAGAATCCGACAAGCATTTAAAGAAGACGAGAGAACCATAAAGGACAACACTTCATCTTAAAAATTGTATATAAAATACTGAATTTAATAATTTCATTAAGTACAAAAATCACATCAAAATTTCAGGTCAGATATACAGTAAATCTTTTCAGAATGGATCACTTACATTTAAAGATGAAGACATTTTACACTTAGAACCTGGTCTCTGCACCTAATTAAAACAGCTTTGACAGTTTCACACAGTCCTGAGAAAATTGTTTTAAGGTAAAAAAATAAAATAAAATAGTCCTGTCCTTTCTCATTGAGGTATTTGTATATGCTGCTATTTTTCATTCTGCAAACTAAAAAGAACATTTAAATAAAGAAAGTAAGTCCTGTAAACTGCCATTTAAATAAAACACCTATACAGTACAAATCCATCACGAATGCAAGTTATTCATAAAATAACAAAACTGTTCAGAAAAATGTCTGGACAAATATCTTGGTAAGCTCTGGTTTTTGTCCAGGTTCCATCAGCTTTCTCCTAAAAGATGGAAGTATTTTCTGTCACCAGTCCGTATGCATCAGTTTCAGGTTCTAAATTATTCAAGAAGAATGGAGATCAATTTTGCCACCACGTGCACATTGAGACTGTTTCCCAGAAGACGATAACATTGCTTTACTGTTACCTTTTCAGGAAAACCTGAAACAAAAACATAGTGCAACATCACAAGTCTGGGTTTGTTTCTATTTTGTAGTCTAATTTTTTTTAAGTGAACATTTCTTAGTGCAGTTATCACAGATTGCAGCAGGATTCACCCTCCCTCCAGCACCCCCCCCCCCCCCAAAACTCATGAGGTTACAAAACCAATTCAAAACCAACTCATTGGATTTGTATCAGTTCTTCTATGACCAATATTGCCATCTCTAAGGTTTCACAAGAAGCTTCAAAACATTCTTCTATTGTGTAACTACTGCTGATCTACCTTCCCTTCAGAGAGCTCAAAACATCCAGCAGTCTCAGGGAGGGGCAGCAGCACTAAACCCCTGCAGAACTGCTACTCTAGATAAGATCCACAGAAGAACACGGCCACAGCAGAAAGAAGATGCCACAATGCTGCAGATGGACTAAACTGCTCTTCTCAATAAGCTTTATATTGTACTTCCCACATCATCCCCCCAAACAGCTCAGGCAATTCACAAGTCTCTCAGTGCAATATATCACCTGTACAGATTAAACGGTGAGCAAGGCTTAGACAGAGTGATCAAGCAGATAAACAATTTTCTGTAAAAATTGTTCTGTAAAACAAAATTTATTTAATTCAATGCCAACCCCATTAAACACACTCAGAAATACAGACAGCATCAGAAATGTCCTTCCCACAGTAAGTGCGTGGCCTGGCAGAAAGAAGGGAGCACCAGCCCAGGTATTGTGAAAGGGCTGTGTTGTGTACTGACCAAGCTCCTGAGAGTGAAGCAGTATCGAGCAGCCAGAGGGTCTACTCTGTCCTTGCTTGCACTCTCACCTTATTCCAACTGTGAGGTAAAGTACATTTGCTTCAACCTGACTGAAAGATGAAGAGCAGTGGGGACTTAACTGTTAGGGTCATATAGTAAACTGCTGAAACTTGGCCACATTCAATTATTTCATCATTCCCTAAGGGGAAACACCCAGCTTTGACTCAAAGGTCATCACCACCCCAACTAGCTCAGATGCACAAGAACACTGTGAGTACAAGTAGTGAAATGTATGCTCTGAGATTTTCACAGCTCTTCGGAAATTCTCTTCCAGAGAGAGCTCAGGAGAGAATGATGGTTATAGAGCCAAAGGAGGCTCTGAGGAGGAGGTGGTGTCTGGGAGGAGTTGTTCCATCCTTCTCTGCCAGTTATTAATGCCTCGAATGTGGACTGCTTTGGTAAACACATCTTCTGCCAACTCCATCCACTCTGCCCAGCTTCCTGGCACTCACATTTGGGCAACCATTCTTCTGTCTTTGGAACTATCACTTGCACTCCCACACACACATCCTCAGATGGCGTTTTCACATTCCATCAAAGAATAAAGGTACAGAACAAAGGCATTTTAAAAGCACACATGAAAATAAATCTGTATTTATGTAAATTAAATGTATTACACACATACACGCACTGACAGCCCAAGAAGCCTGTCTGAATCTTGAAAATGCCAGAATTTCTCCTTTTACCTTTTGGCAACCTAAAGCCAATAATTAATTTTCAGAACTCATGATTTCCTTTATCCCAAGCCTCCTCCCTCTGACTGTTAACATTGTCTTGTACTTTCTATCTTCTTAGCTCCAGTGTGGCCTAAATCAGGTCAGATTCAATAACTCCCAGTATGCTGGCACTTGCTGCACAGCTCTCACTATAGCATTTATGTCACACACATACATTACAGTACCTGAGGACATTGGGCTCTTAATAGCACGTATTTCCCCACCATGCTGGCTTTTATTTCCTAAAAGCTTGCATACATTGCTAATATGAAAAAAGGAAAACACATCCCAATATCATTCTCATGAAAGCAGGTCACAGGTGCAAGAATGCTCTGTTCACTTTTAATGATATTGCTGTGGGACCCACCAGAGTGACTAAGACAAATGACTGCAGTATTTCACTGAACTATAGTGCAATTACCATTTATACATTTAGATGTTAAAAGCACAAATAAATCTAGTCATGTTAAGAATGAACAATGACTTTAACTCTGGACCTCACATATTAGAAAAGGCCATCAACTTCTTAAAATGCAGAACCATTTAGACAACCACATTTCTTCTGATGATACTGTAGCTGCACTAGTAACAGCATCTGTTACAAAGCTCCTGACAGTCTGTTCACATAGTTTTCAGCTTACAGTTTCCTCATTCTTCAGTTTCTTGGACCAATAAGATATTTGCAGTGGGTACAATTCCAAGCTTCATGGCTTTGAAAATTTTAGCCTAAATGTTGCTGTCACTACAGAACACAGTAGCAGAGAACTTCTAACACATTTTGCTCTGAAAATACCATATTTCACTGTAATTACTTGAATTTTAGCATGGGAGAAATGCTGTCAGGGAAACACCCTTTGCTGCAGCCATAAATAAATCCACTTCCAAAAAAAAATCCAGAGCTTTCAAATTGTCAAAAGAAACTGAGATTACAGTACCTAAATTCACTCATGATTTCCATCAGCCTAGAGTTGAGTAACCCTTTTTTAAGCAAAAAGTGGGAAAAGTTTTAAACCCAGAGAAATGTCAGACTTGTGACTCAGTGCAGGGGGAAATGCATGTTCTGTCTATGACTCAGGAGGATATGTGAGAGGAAACCACTGAACGAGAGAGAGGCTTGTTTTATGTGTCATCAAAGCTGGAAAAGCAGTACAGAGACGGGAGGGAACTGCAAGAATTGTAAAACAGTTATAATACTAACTGTCATCATTATGGCAACAGGGTACTCTCCTCTTAGAGGTGCAATCCCAGCCAACAAAAGACAGGTCTGCTAAATGAACACATTCTACATGGCAGTGATCTGGATGATCCTCAAATTCAGAAGCCTGACTTGTCTTCAAAGTTCAGTTCTGGTCTGCAAAAATACCGAAGCTCACAGGTCTCTCTGCAGATAAATGCTAAACAGAAGGCACTATGAAATTATTAAAATCTGATTTCGCAACCTGCTCATCCCAAAGTAATGGAGTCTTCCAAACATAAATTTCTCCACTGTCTCAGTTGTCCCTTTGTAAATTACAAGCAACATTAACTCTATTGTACCTCTCAGTAATGTTTGCAGAGACTGATTTAACAGTGGAAAAACTCTAGCTGTATTTTAATAAAAAAAAGAGAGAAAATGGGCAAATTAATACTCAAAAGAGACCTTGAGCAGCATAAGCCTATAAAAGCCCAATCTAGCTCTGTTAAATTCAAGGATCTTGACATTAGCCTACATTAATATGGAACAGTGCTAAAAAGGCTGTCTTCAAGTAGAACAGATTCATTAAAGAAGAGGCTATGAACATACATTGCATGTTGGTATGTAACAACACAGCACACTTGAAAATACTCATGAACATGCAAGCTTAGTGCTGGCAACTCTAATTTCACTGTGCAACCTTGATAATGCTCCAAATGTAGCAATTTTGAACATAACAAGTAATAAATGAAAAAAACAAATTAAAACTGTGAAAGAAAGAAATACATAGAAACAAGTCACATTTCTTAGAACTCTAAGTCACTGAGGAAGTCAAAGCAAAATATAGCAAATTACTCAAGGTCAATGCTTATTCTTCGAGCAATCTGGTTTGGTGGAAGGCAGTTGGAAATAGATGATCTTTAATACAAACCCTTCCACGATTCCTTGGATGCTTTTGCTGCTGAGTGATAATAAATTGATCTGATGTGATGTGAGCAGAACAGTTTCTTAACAAATAGTAACAGCTACACTTTCCTCCTTGCCCTTTTTTACAAGGAGAATTCTGATCAATTTACTTCAGGTTAAATTCTTGTTGATGTGTATCCAGTGCTGAACCTTGCTTCTTGACTCCTTGTTCCAAAAAAAAAAATAAAACCTCTTAGAAAATGAAGTTACTGACCAAGGACTGCCTTTTCTAGAAAATAGTGATGGCTTAATAGATTGGTTACTCCTCAGCATAGAACTATCTGTATCATCTGAAATTCCCTGTCAGCAGCTGTAAGTGTGTAGAAGGGAAAAAGCAAACAGCTCAAACACTGAGAGCCACAAACCGACTTCCTAAACTGGAAGGATATGTTGATTTACCATAGTTGTGAGTAACACCAGCTGCTGAGTAAATAGTTTCAACTTTAAACAAAGGTATTCCTTCATTGCACTTCACTAACAGAACATTTTGCATGCCAAAACTTTCTTCTCAGCTTATGGAGAAAAACCACACCACAGAAGCTGATTCCTACAAAACATGAAAAGAACTAGTGGAAATTTAGAGAAATTTAAAGTTAGACAAACAACAAAAATCAACCAATCAATCAAACCGAGAGGTCTGAAAAAAATGCAAAATAAAAAGATTGGATTAGTCCCAATTTTAAAAATACATTGGCATTTCTGAAGAATAATGTAGCACATACCAAATTCCGAAGGGAATCCATGAAGATTTGCTATTTCTCTTGGGGTAAAGTACCTCAGTTTTAGTGTTGATAGTTTCATAAGCTTCTCTTCTTCTGGTAATTCATCAATATGTTTAAACACTGATTCAAGCTATGAAGAATATAAAAATCAAGAAATATGACTGATGCAGGCAAAATATGTAAAATTTACAGTCACATCTTAATAGACTATTTCCTTAATTATCAAAGTGACAAAGACAATTGCATGTTTTGCTTGAAAGTATCATTTGCATTCTGTTTCTGCAGCCAACATCTAACACATGGACTTGCAAGAAAGAAATCAATGTCGGCATAAGGACATTCAAAATTTCTTCCTCTAGTTCCAAGCTATACCAATACTTAATGGGGCAATGAAAGAATAAACATTTGTTAATGCCAAAGGACAGTGATCCAGTAGAACTCAATAACAGACCATTCATACAAATTAAGCTATGTGGATACAGCTGTTTTAATACACTTGCTTTCAGATTATCCTGAATTCCAGAGCTGCATTCCTTTTGTACTTAGAAATGCCCTATAATATTAGTGAACAGCACAGAAGTGCAGGAGGAAGGGCTGGTGTACAACATAGGCTCTGTGAAAAGTATCTTTGATTACTGATTAACCATTGCTTTTATTACCTTCCCCAATTCCTAAATACCACTTGGTCATGGACTTAGTATCAACAGTAGGACTTTTCCAAATACCCTTTGAAGATTAATAATTTCGAAATTCAAACATGATAAACATCTGACAATACTTACTGAATTATATGCTTTAATTCATAACACTGTACTGTAGGTTCTCCATAGAACTAGTAATTTTTAAGGTTTCCACAAACCCCTGTGAAACCTCTGTACAACATGACAGATAATAAAATAATAGCACCTCATATTCTCCTCCCAGAGAGACACGGATATAATTTTGGTCTAAACAAACTGCTGTCTAGGAACACAAAGTAAACCAACTGGAAACTCAGTTGCCATAAAATGTATATTTAAAAGTTTTTTTTATTATAATATTCAGAACAACAAAGGAGAAGACAGAAGAACCCCCAAGCTTTGAAATAAGTCTCACGTTTTAAAACAAGTGATTCTAATATGTTACACTACACACTTACCTGTACATCTACTGCTGTCTGCAGAACTGAGCCGGTCCCTTCTACATAGTGTCCATACCTTAACAACAACAATAACAATCTTAAATTAATATTTTCACTGGATTTCATAGCATTGACAACGGCAAAGGTGCAGGGAGGTTACTTAGGTTCCTTTGCCTTGACGAACAAACAGCCTCCTGGATAGATAAAGCAGAAGGCCTTGTTACAAACTCTGCTAACCCTTGGAATGCAGTACCCTCTGAACGTGCTCTCTGGGGATGAGTCTGCCCTCAGTGCTCAAGGGTTTATCCACACTAGTGTCTTAAACATCGCAACTCCACAAAGCCAAGGATCACCAAAACCAAAAACAGCTACACTGCCTAAAACAATTTTACATTATGGCAAAATGTGTTAAAGGTCAAATGGTCCCAGGGGTTCAAATTAGCTCCCCTTATTAAAAGGAGGATCACTAGTGTGAACCTCTAGCTTTGATGTCAAAGCATTAGGAACAAAGTGGTTCAGCCAGGTTTAACTTCTGGTTGCTTGCAGATTTTCCACTGAAGTAATGGCAATGGCCAGACATCTATGCAGAGCAGTAGAAAAAAGAAAGAAGAAAAAAATTAAATCCAAGTAAACAGCAAGTAAACTTCCATTCTGAAACCTATGATAGCTGTTCTGCATGCTTTGTGGTTGATTGCTTAACAACATGTTTACTCTGTAGTCTCATCAAGGCTACCATTTAAATATAATTATGGGCTTTCAGAAACATGCTCTGTTGGTCTAACTATGGCAGTTTGAATATTCTGAACAGAAAGAGTGAGTCAAGACAACAGATGGCTTTGCCCTGTGGAAGAACTTCAGAAGATCCCCTGCGTTAGAGGGATGTAGTCTGCAACAATCGTTAACAGACACTCTTCTCTAGTTTTATCTGTACAACTGTAGAGACAATTATAAAGGTCTTTTGTTCCACTTGGGACCCATTCCTGAAGCATGGCACAAGTTATGTTTCAAGCCTCTCTAATTCCACAGTGAATAAAAGAATAGTCTCTCTTCAGCACAGACACAATGACCCAGCACGGCTCAATCTTGAGTAATTCATCCTCAGCTGAAAAAGCTACAATTAGTTCTGCCAATAACAGCCAGAGCAGCACTCATTTGAAAACAAATTCTTCCTCAGGATCAGAAGACCTAAACACTATTACAGATTAAATACACATGGAATCTAACTGTTTTGTAAATACATAATCTTTAATTGGTTAGTTGCATTCTGCAAATTCCCTAACACAAAGTTTAACAATATAACACACACAGCACTGAGGAATCCTCATTCTCTTCCTCTAATATAGCATCTGGTAACATTTCAGTTTAATATAACTGAGCCAAAATAAATAAATAGGGTTAAATTCAAAGTGGTATTGCAGAGTTTTATTGGGAGAAATAAATACTCCTGTCTAAATAACTAGCACTACAGTACAGAACTCCCAAAAAAATCCAGTTGGTGTCCATGTGCTTTGATGGCCGTGTGTGTGTGCACGTGTTGCTTTTTTAATACAAATGTGGGCATATGGCTAATGTCACGTTAGCTGGATTGTTACCAATTATTATTGAAGCTGCTGACTACGGAAAAGTGAACATTCCTACCTTAGACCCAGAACATAATTAAATTTTGTCACTGTAAGAAAATTATGTATTGATTTTCTGACATTTCATTACAAGTTATAATGAAAGAAGTTGGCTTAAGAAATTACAGTCTTCAATTTTCATCTGATTCAAGATTCCCTCCCTCTTTTATTTCTGTAAGCTTTAAAAAAATATTTTCATTTCATATATGTATTTTTTTCTAGGTATATTGTGTCAATTTCCACAAAGCGAGAAAGCTTTTCTGTAATTGATACTTGCACTATTTTGAAAGGTATCACTTCTCTTGTCAATAGCATATAAAAAATTTAAAGTATGTCCAGAAGGACTACATCTAGAGAAGTTACATCTAATTTTCATTTCCTCTGTCCTTTAAAATAGTTTATTTCCTTTCAAAACTTCAGCTACCACGTACTCCAAAGAGAAACCATGGTGTTGGTAGTCTCACGGAAGTCAGCAATCATTCACCAAGTGCCCAGGAATTCAGTGTCAGAAGGGCACATAGAATTACCTGCTTGATCTCTCATGCATTATAGGCCATTACATTTTGCTGTGTACTCCACCAAAGCCTTTCAAAAGACATACTGGTATAGCAAAAATCACTGATGAACTATCAGTGTTTGAGGTCCCTGAATTAGCAAAGACTTGAGAAGGCATATCCAGATTATTTCCATCACATGAACCTTGCTAGAAATACCTGAAAACCAAAGAGAAAAGAGGGAAATTTTTCTCCTACTCTCAAAGCTAATGGTCAGTGTGACTTACAAGAAAGATACCAGACATGCACAGTAGCAGAGGGATTCTCTGTACTATGTGGAGTGCTGTTTCCCATTCAGGCACCTTTTTCCTAGATCTCATGCCTCAGAGAGACAAAAACTGAACTTCTGGAACAGATACAGCAGGGACTTATTCCTGGCCTCAGAAAGAGACTTTAATGAGATGTAATTATAAACCTTCTCTTAATGCAGAGCTGGAAATGAGATTATTGCATTGAGAACCATGTTGGCAACCCAAACCCTTCCCAAAGGCTCTTGAAAAACAGAACAAAGATGGTAAATCAGACAGAAACTACCACCACAACTACCTCCATATCAGCAGAAGGATAAGAGTCAAGTTCCTCTGGTGTCAGGTTTCCCACCACTATTTACAGAGACTTGATATTCAACTACTCAGGAGCCTCCTTCAGCGTGATTTTGATAAACATGACTACAAACTACCACGACACACCCTAGTGAAACCACAGGTGGCCAATTACTTTCAATGACACTTAAGGCAAACATAAGACACATCAGACATCATTCTGGCTAAGGGTTTTTTTGACTATTCTAGTTACGAAAGGGATTTCACAAGATCCTGACTCCCCTCACCTCAAAGGAGTGAGGGCAGAAAAGGTGCATACATCTATATCAATGAGACCTGAGGGAAGGCCTTTCCCATTGCATAAATTTCAAACTTTTGAAATTCTTTTTCTTCTTCCTTATTGTCTAAAAGTTAAAAATAACAAAATCCTGCAGGAATTCTGTCAGTTTGGCAGTATAATTTCTACTAATTAAAAACCAGTTACAATTAGCTTTAACTCATCATCCAAGCCATTTTTTTGAAGCACTCAGCAAATTCGTAAAACCAATCCAATTAGAAAAACATATCAGTATTAAAAATTCCCACAAATTTGCAGGCTCCAATTGGAATGTTTTATTACAAATGCATTCAGTGGAAAAGCTCCTCACCAGTTGTTCACAGAGTTTCAGAACACTCACCAACTTCTGGAAGTCAAACTTAAAATTGCAAGGTAAAAATCAGAAAACTACTTAGACAGAAAAGCACTGATGTTCTGCTCCATCAAATATGATTTGTAGCACAGCAACCTAACTGGTTTCATGACAATCCACAGCTATTTTGATCGACGTAGCTGAAAAATCCAAGAAATCAATAAACTGTACAGTGGAGACAGATTTAATGAGGAATGGATCTGCCATGCATGACACTTTCTAACTTCATTGAGCAATATAAAGAAATTCATTAATGAATCAGCACTATAGCATTCTACTGGAACCATATTTCCGCAGGGGTAATTAAGCTTCTGTGAAGGTCAACAACAAATGGCAACTGTCTTTTGTGAATGCCTTTTTGGAGTGGGCACATGATGTTCTGCCAGACAGTTTCTCATGCAGGCATTCCACTGGACCAGCACGCACACTCTAGAAGGAGATTTCTTTCAAAGGCCTAGGATTTTTTGATGAAACACCTCTCTATGATTTTACAGGACACAAGCAAGAAAATACACTTCAAATTTCAGGACATGATTTAGCAAGACATTTTCCTGCCCAACTTACCCTTTTGTAAAGCACGTGGATCTCCGGCAGGTGGGTTTAACAATGTCTAACAAGAAAGCATAGCGCAGTAAGGACTTTGGTGGTAAGAAATACTGACTCATTTCTTCATTTTCCTCTTCCAAGAAGTCTTTTAGCATTTGAATAGAGGAATCACTATCCTGATTGTGTTTCCTTTCCATTTCTTCTACTGTTTCAAGCTTAAATAAAAAGGCCCCTTTTGGTAAACTCTTCTTGCTGCTGCAATCTGGACCAATGTTTGGACCGAGATTCTTCTCCTCAGAGGACAAAGAAGAACTGATTTCACCCACTTTGCCAGCAACCTTTTCCTTGAGTAAATCTTCTGGATACTGATCTGGGAATCTTGTCAATATCTAAGAGGAAATTGTCACAAAAATAAAATTAAATAACTTTTTTAAAAAACAACTTGACAATCAACCATACAGTCAGTAAGAATTCCTTCAGAGATGCTCAGAATAAGGGAAGAAACCTTAAATGTTATTTTCATGAAGACTTCAAAAGTAGTAGCACTGAGATTAGTTGACCTATTGGCAATGATGTCAAAATAACCTCAAATAATTGCCTTTGCCAAAAGACCTTTCCAAGTGTGCAAAAAATTCAGCAGTATGACCTGTTTTCTAGCCCACTATCAGGCTAGAGAACACATCTCCCAACTTTTTAAAGCCATCTAAGCACAGACATGCACATCAGTCCTACAAAGCTCAATATCCAGGCTGAAAAAAGGAGACAGAATTTAACTTTTCAGTTGGAATAATTAATTCTTTTTTCATCAACACACATCACTAAACTGAAAATTTAACGCTCAATCTTCATGAAATGAAGCAAATTCAAGTAACAGAAATAAACTCACTTGACCAGGAGCTTGAAAGGAAAATGGTTCTTGGTGAAGCTTCGCAATTAGAAAATACCGCAGCCTAGAATTGGGAATGCCCAGCTGTAATCAAAATTCAGAAGCCTTTAGTCCATGTGATAATAGAGAAAAAGTGGTCTATACCATCATACAAGTTATCTGCCATTACGTGCAGAAACAAAACTATGTCATACATTTTGTGACTTCAGAGACACCAGTATTCACAGAATCAGAGATTCATAACATGGTTTGTGTTGGAAGGGACCTTGAAGGTCATCTAGTTCCAAGGCCCCTGCTGTAGGCAAGGGCACCTTCCACTAGACCAGATTCTCAGAGCCCCACACAAAATGGCCTTGAACACTTCCAGGGATGGGGCATCTGCAACTTCTCTGAGCAACCTGTTCCAGGGCCTCACCACCCTCATCACAAAGAGCTTCCTCCTGATTCTAATCTAAAACTACTCTTTAAGTCTGAATCCATTCCCCCTTGTCCTGTCACTATCGACTCTTGTAAAAAGTCCCTCTCTGTCTTTCTTGTAGTCTCCCATCAGGTACTGGAAGGCTGCAATTAGGTCACCCTGAAGCCTCCTTTTTTTCCAGGGTATTCTCTAGGTATTAGTTGATACTACCTACACACTTGTAACTTCCATACCTAGATACTTCAAAAGAACCAAGTGAGCAATTATTCTTTGTATCTCATAGTTTTTACTTTCTCTGTAAATTAATATGAATGTAGACAAAATTTTATGTTATGCAAGAAGAAACTTTCCATGCCTCACGATTTCTTGGGACATGTACTATCTGTTTCCTGTTAAAAACAAAAAAGTCTCTCTTTGCCTTTTTAAACAAGGAATTATAAGACACCTAACAATTAAATATATATACCAAAATTGGTTTCCAAGCTACACTCTATTAGCTTCTCTCAAATATTTCTGGTACTTCACTGATTTCAGTTAGTCTTGCACAATCTGAAATCTCTCTCAAACTTTTTCAGTTGCCAGGGTAACATGGAAACAAAGCTCCTCCTCCCACAAGAAACAGTCATATTTTCTGTGCTGGGAAATCCAGAGGCACAGCACTTCTGAAGCAATGAGGCTCCTGCAGGGAAAACACCTTCCTGGTTACAGTGCAAATTTATGCCTTCTCAAAAATATCAAATGGCAGCAAAGCAATATGGGACTAGGATCTGAACCCAAACAGCAATACAATTATGCCAGTATGAGAAATCAGAAATCATGTCAGCTGATTTTCTCATTCAAGTGTATCTTCAGCTTTGGGCATGATTCTGTTTTCTAATACACAAGAGAATTTTCAAGTGTTCTTGGACTCAGTACACTTTGAACAGTTAAATAATATTAGAGCAATTTTAGTACTCACACAGGTTGGAGACAAGAGAAATTCCTGATATTTAAATCCACATGTTGCTAGTGTTTTCAAAAGTTCACTTCTGAAAGGAATCAAAAAGCAGTTACTCCCTTCACATAGTCTTTAGTCCCTTTTATAATCCTAAATAAAAACAGATTAAATTCAACATCATATTTACCAAAGCATTCATTGAAATAATTGGACAGCAAGTTATTGATATGTCATCCATTACTGAATTTGAGAGACAACATACGAAGTTCAGTGTTAGAGACTATTATACATTCAAAGGCACCTCACTCTTATTACAGTGCAAATGCCTCTTCAAAAACATCCCATCTCTAGAAGAGTAATTGTAGTGTGTCAACGAGGAAAGAAATCAGAGGGCAAGACATTCTTTTTATTTGGAATCATAAACCAGGAGATTAAAACTACTACAAATAGCTCACTACTTCCTTCTGCTCACATACACAGCACCAGCTAAGCGTAACAAAAAGTCTAAATCGAGGGATGAAAAAAATCAGTGGCTTTGATTATAAAAGTGAGGTGGGACTGTGCTTTATAAACAATGAAAAGAAGACTGTAAAGGAAATAATCTTATAAATACTTTTCTTCTGTATTCCATGCAGACTGCACTAGACTGGAACTGTAGAAAAGGCAGGAGCTGTGACGTGTACCTGGTATTGTATTGCATCCCAGGTGCTGTAAGAGAAAACAAGTGTCCTAACTGGGGTGTTTTCTGAAGTACAGCTTGTCCCAGGCACTGGCCAGCTAGGCACTGCCTAGGGAATGCCAGGGTCTACAAGAGAGGACCATGAACACTGAACCAGTGAGAGAGCTGAGCATGTCTCCCAGCTGCCATATTCATTAACAGCATGATATGCAAGGGTGCTGTTGGGGCTTTAAAGAGAGCACAGAGAGATCCCACTCTATTCCAGCAAGAACTGAGAAGGAAGATTGCAACTTGCTCTCTTTTGGTCACAAGAGAGGAGAGTGCTCCTGCTGTCATTAGGTAACTGTAGTGACACCTTTCCTCTTCCACACTCAGACCAAGACTAAATGCATCTTTCTTACTGCATCTCTGGACCATTTGATGACAGCCCTGAAACAGGGATAATCTACTATCAACAAAGGTACTCAAGAAAGCCCCTAGACTGTTCTGTGACCGTAACACAAGATATCATAGGATCCTGTCCTCAATAAGCCCCTGAAACCTCTGAGTGTTACACCTATTGTTACTTTTCTTTGAAAACTAATTCTGACCTTTCCTAAAGGAAACATGAACATCAAATAAAATTAAAAATAAAATACTGTTGTATTTTACACACTTAGAGACATAACCAGTTATCTAGTAAGTTCTTTTCACAACCTAGAATTTTAATTCCTGTCCCATCTCAAGCTATTTTGTCAACTCCAATTCTAGGAAACAAAAATCCCTTCTAAAGAATAAATCCCTTCTCCTTCTAAAGAATATATCCTTTTTGCAAACTAAAACCTGCATGTATTAATTAGAGTTTACCTTGCAGAAGAGGATTCAAATCCTTTAACGTTTTCTAAAAGTAGGTATTTTGGAAGCTTCTGAAGCCTACAAGGAAAAAAAAAGGCAAATCAGAGTTACAAGATGTAAAGTACATTATATTCATCTACAAATCTGTTCAGCTAGCAGAAAGATCAAAGTATTTCCACATCATGCTAGCTGTTAAAATTTAGCATCCTTAAAAAACCAACTGAATTAAAAATGTGGACTGCTGGTAAAAACCAAAAACCGCATCTATGTTTGGATGAACAGTACTCCATGCATGTACTTTTGAAAATGTTTATCACTGTTCATTTCCTAAAGCACAATAATATTATTCAACAGATTCAGTGTATAATAGGAAATACAATTGTTGGGGGAACATCAATTGCTACTTAGCCATAAAAATGTTATTTTCAAGTGCTTGTACCTGAAATCAATGTCAAAATGTCACATAAACTTTTCTGATAACACATCAGAACTGGTATTCATTTAACTGATTTAAGAGACACAACATATTTGGAGTTCCAACTGCAGATACTCTAAATTATCTAAACTTGACTTTTTTATTTTTTGGGGGGGAAGGGAAGGAGGTGTCTCAGCTTCAGCAAGATCAGTGCAAAGGTCTGGAAATAGGCACATTCCAAAAACAGCATATTAAATCTGGAGAAATGAACATGCCCAAACTGTGCCAGGACCTGTTCCAACAATTTAGAAGCACAGATGATTCAGATTCAAGTCTCTGGGAACATTCTGTAGCACTGTAATAATGCCACTGTAGACACAGAATGTCTGTCACACACTGAGATCTCAGAACAACATACAGAAGTAGGATATTAATGCCCCATACAGCAGCTTCATGCTTATTGAAGTTAGCGACTTCAGACTTCTACTGGAACAAATCACAGCAGAATTAGTTTCAGCACACTTTTAATTACCACCAATTAAAGACACCACATGAATTAAAAAATAATTAAAAGAACCAATGCATCTCACAAGAAACTATGCCAAATTTAAAAAAACTACTGAAAAAATAATACTAAATTGAAAAAAGCAGCAGCAACCAAATTCCTTGCAGAGGAATGGAGAATATATCTGCTGGTGTGTCTACCCACAATCCTCATCACTGACTACTATGAAACTTCTTTTTCAGGAATGAATCCACAGCACAGCCTGAAATGCAAGCACTTGCAAGGGATCGACAGATCACAAGGCAAGTAATCACTGTACAAAGTGGAAGTGTTAAGTACTTGGCAGGTATTAACATTAAAAGTGTTTCTGTAAAAGCAGCACTTTGACGTTTTAGCATTGGATTTCACCAGGTTATGGCCTGGACACGATAAACAGATGGTATCTGGACCATTTGGCTTGGACTTGGCTGGCTGGGTGCTCCAAGGATTTCCCGGGTCTTTCCAGATCTTGAAATTGTCCTTTCCATTATCTCTAATATTTGTCTTCCCAGGCTACCTCTGAGCCTCATTTCAGCAATATTTCATTATAAAAGGCTGAACAAAAGGTAAGTACATCCAAGGGATGAGAAGTTATTTTATACTTTTCATAAACTGCATGCAAGCCACAGCAATTTAAAATGTAAAGGGATAATTCCATATTAAGAATTTCCTTTTTTGGGGCTGAAGTATTCCATACTCAATGTCTCACAATGTATTGCATTCAAAAAACACATAAGCACTATCTTAGTAAAACACAAATCCACTGGAATTGAGAAACTTTAGAGAAGCCATCATGTTGAACCTACTAGTGACTACTTAGAGTAGGTGCTACTTCAAGAACCCTCCCCAAGGAGATAAGGGACATTAGCAGCGTCTCCTGGGGTGTTGAGATAAAACTGAGACAGCCAAGCCCAGGTCCTTTGCATCGTCATGATAAAAATACAGGTCCTGGAGTGTCTAAGGCTTTGGTTTTGAGAAGGAAAAGCTTCTGTCATTTATCCAGCTAAGCCCACAGCAATTGGGAAGCAATATTTCCATACTAATGCACTATAATGTCCAAAAACAGACAGCCTCTTAAGAATGCCTCAGTTTAACGGAAAAGAATCCCCAGGTCAGGATGCCTTTAAGGATATCTTCACTTTCTCTCCCTAATTTTGTGTCTGCCATCAATACAAATAATTATGGCTGTTTTATTTAGAACTGGGATCTGACCAGGCAAAAATTGACAGATGAATATAAAGACAAGGCTACTATTCGGACAATGCACTACTATTCAAATTCTTTAGTATTACTACTCCAAACACAAGACAGTACTACAAACGAAAAATACACAATCTCCCCCAAGATATCTAGAAGCAGCACCAAAAAGAACAGAGACTTTAAGAAAGAATGGAAGGGGCTGCAACGTGCATTGCATTGTACAGTCAATAATATATTCAAATCAACTTTCAAATAGTACCTCTTCAAAAGATCACTATATGTTGAATCTAAGCTTTTTTAACCCAATATTTTAAAAAATTACCATGTTTCCGTGAGACCAATAGATAAACTATTATCTACTCCTGCTTCTACATAAAATCAATGCAAATTTGATGTTGAGCTGAAAAGAACTCTCTTTTCATTTATTATCTAGGCACAGTTTAAACAGACATGCAATGAAAAGGAAACCAGACAATCAGAGCATATACAGCAACGAGGTGATTGCAGCATTAGTAAAATACAAGTATTTGTAAGTTACTTATGATCATGTGAAAACAAACATGGAATACAACACTAGTAGTACCCCTCTAAAACATTACAGATGTCTTGTCTCACTGAAATACAGAAGACCTAGTTACAACAAAGCCCAGTTACAAAAGAGGCTTTAGAATGGAGGAAGAAATTAATTTATACCTTGGGAGAATATCAAGGATATAGAGAAAGCTCTTTGTCCGAGGATCAGACACATCACCTTGCAGGCCAATTCTAAGAAAGAATAAAGAAACACTGGTGTATTACTCAGAGCAGACTGGCAATTAAGTTACATTTTTCTAAAGAATGCTGACACTTTGCTTTGAGTTTCAAAAGGAGATTCTGCAAAAGCATCACGTACAGACAGGAGGACCTGCTCACAGAGACAGTGTTCTGAGAGATGCTCTAAGGAATGAAAGTCTGCTCCTGGAATCCATCAGCTCACAGCAAGGTTAAAATTGAAGCATTCAGTAATGAAATCCACTCCCTAGTCTGCAATTCCTTTAGCATTCTGGTCTTGTCCAGCAAAGCCTTTGAACATACTTGGCTCTGAATGAACAAAAAACCCCCACTGGGTTTCTGGGAATACCCTGCTATTTTGCACTGAATATATTAAATTATTTCTATGAATTAAAGCCTCATTGTTCACCATTTAGCAGGATTGAGCCCCACATGAATAACTTTGGAACCAATTTTGTAACACTAAACTGGACAGATTATGTAGGTTACAAAAATGATAATGATTCCAGGCCTGTGTTTCTCTTGCTTATACTTCTATTAGATCATTTAAAAAAAAAGAATAAAAGCTTTGTAGAAGAGCTTTAGCATGTAACTAAATTAATCAGTCACACAGAGATTTTTCTTTTCATCATATAATAAAGAAAAAAAATCTTAAATGCTTCCTATATACATCATAGGTTTGCACTAATTCATTTTTATAGATCAGCACCACTTTACTGGGATTTCTTTTCAATCTTAGAACATTCAATGAGATATACTTTCTTACACCATCAGTATTATCACCATCAACAGACTTAATGAAGCTACTACTTTGCATGAGTGCAGTTACTAGAATCTTACCCCATTGGTCACTGCTGTCAAATGATATGAATTACAAATTAATCTGACAAAAGTACCTCACTAAACCCAGTCCTTAATCAGCAAGATATTTCTCTTTATCATCTACAAAACCATTCCAAAGCCATTATCCTTCTAGTCTTGGCTAAAATAGAAATATTCTTCAGAATAAACTATCTGTGTGCATGTGCAATTTTCAAAGTACAAATAAAACCAGACTACACTCTTAAGTCTCAGGCAGAACTGAGAAATTCCAATTCTCCTGCTGGAGTTATCCCAGGAAAATATTAGATTGATATCTAAAAGGAAAAGCAGCACTCCTAAACACTAAATTTCAATATTAGAGGAATGATACAGTTCACAAAATAGGTGGTATAAGAAGTTTGCTTAACTTAAACTGAATTAATCTACACGTATGCAAGAAATGTGACCAACAATTACGATGCAAATTGCTGCATTTCTTTTGCTTCGGTAAACATCATGGTGAGCACAGCTACAACACATTTGCTTAGGAAGAGAAAGATACACAGACCACCCTCACATAGTGTCACTCTTGATAAACATCTCTCCTTTCACTGTATGTAGTGCAATAACTGCACTGTTTTCCCCAAGTGTGCTGTGCCTACCTTGTAAATGGCTGACAGGGAGGACTCATCAAAATCATATCAAAAGATAATCTGTCAAATTCTTTCAGTGTTATGCCCTGAAAACAGAAGAAAATAGGATGTTGAGTGTTGTGAACTCTGTGAAATTCTCAAGTCATCTTTCAGATGAAACTAACCCCTCTTACTTCCATTGTATGCTTCATTGAGCAAAAAACTCTCCAATCTCTCATTTGACCTAGTAATTTCAAAATCTTTTCTACCTTGGCAAAACACAAGATGTAAATATATGCTCTGAACATAAAACAAAACATTTACAAGGTTAGTATTTATACATAATCTTGAGGTTTGTATCTCCTCATTCTTTGAGGTGTGTAAGTGGTTCTTTCAGTAGATACTGCTATTTCTCCCGAAAATAAAGCATCATTACTATCATAAAGTCCTTTTACAGCAAAAACAGTGTTCACAGAGTAAAATATGTGTAAAAACATGTGAGAAGAAAAGTAGCTCAAGTGTAAATTCTTAATTACACGGGTAGGAATTCCTTAAACTAAGTTTTCATCAACACTAGAAAGTCAACACATTAAGGGGTCAGGAGGGAAGAAGGACAACGATCAAGTTACCGTAACTTGGACGAAGAAATCACTCCTTACATATTCTGAGGAATATCTATACAGCAAATATAATATAACTACCTTGAGAAAACTAGACAAAAGCTGCCATTTTTCCCACTGTATTTGAAGAAGGTGTTACTGACTCTAATAATCTGTTATTGTCTACTATAAAATGACACAGGTAAGGATTCTTCTTCTATTTCCATTATAAAACTATAAACTATCATTTGGCCAATTATTATTGAGTGCTGAATAAGCATTTAACCTTTAGCCACCTATTTAATTCTTACTTAAGCTGGTGTCTTAAAACAGACACAGTATCTTTTATTGTCATGTTGTAAAACCCTAAAAGAAGAATAAGAAGTATACAGCAATTTCTAACTTAATCCAAGCAAAACTCCATGTCTAGCTTGCCTCTCATTTATTAAAATAGAATCCAATTTCACTTAGTTGTTTTTCAAATAATTTGGCGAGTGATAGAATTCCTAAAACATTTTATCTATTGAGCCCATTAAAAAAGATTCAAGAGTGCTCAATCCAATATTTTGTTGTTTCTCAGAGCCCAACTATAACTACAAAACAAAGGCATGCCTCCAAGTAATTTAATTACATTTTTTCAAAGTACGTGAAAATATTTTTTTAACCTAAAAATATGATTTTTGACATTCCTTTACTGGTGGCAAGCATTCCTCTTGACATTTATATAACCTTTCTTGATGCTGCAGGCAAGACTTAAAGGAAAAGCCTGCAGTATGAACATCCTTCCTCAACAAGCAACTACAGCACAAGCAATCGAAGTTATTGTAAAACTGCTTTATTCATAGTGACATCAATCTTTTTGTTTCTCTTGTTACTAATAAAGACAGTGAAAACAGCTAACATCTTACAAATGCCAGACTGTAAAAGCACATTAATTACTCACCTCAATAGTCTTTGCCCATAGTGGCGTGCTGGGAAAGTTGTACTTGTAAACATCATTGGCAAGAGTGTTCACATCAACAGCAGCAACAACTTCGGCATATGTACAGCTTTCTAAAAGTAAAAAAAAAAAAATTAAAACTCTAACTTCTCTTTACTACTCCTAGAAAAAGGTATTTGCTCAGTTGTGTTACAGCATCACTCAAAAACAAATGCCAAATCACACAATCAAATTCTACTGTGTTGTCTTTGAAACTCTGTATAAAAAACATACTGTTTTTCTAAACATATGGGCAAAATTTCCCTCCCTTATATATCCAAAAATGGAAGCTTACTGTGCACCTAACTAGTAGATAAAAAAATTCCAAACTGGGTGCACCTCTACAACATTTCCACCTCTGTGCAGGTCTCTGTGGCCAGCAAGTTCCTTGGCTACAGGAATCTCAAGTCAGCCTGACAAGTCCCACTGCCTTATCCTCTGACAACTTAAAGAAATAAATATGTTATATATATATATATGTTATACATATATATGTTATATACTACTTCTCATTATTAAAAAATAGCACCAATATGTTTGACATATGTCTACTCTTCCAATAAAACTTTTAAGTTGCCTGAAAAAACATTTGTGCTTACATTTCAGTAAAGCTTTAGGCCTCAACTGCTGTCTCCTTTGAGTTAAAGGTCCCAAAATACCAAACTTGGGAGCTTCTGCTCTCTTGGATAGAGATGTTATTGAAGAGAGGACAGCATAACAAATAAACTCACAGCTAAAACCCTGAAACAAAAATACACCAAAAAGAATGCAAATAAACTCTTAATTTATAAAGTAAGAGAGTATTAGGTTCTACAGAAGCTAAAGAGATAAAAAAAGCAGTGTTTACTCCATTACTCATTATATCACACTATTTGTTATTACTAAACACAGTACCTTCACTGAGGCTTTTTATCCAAGAAGATGGGCTGTGGTTACTGTCACAGCTGCAGGCAGAGAAGTAACCCTACCTCCTGATACCAAAGATCAGTATCAACCACCAGGTTATTTACATTATGGTCAGCATTACAAAGCCTCAGGTGAAACACAGGTGACTTTAAAAAACTTTTGTAAATCAAAAGAAACAAGGCAAATAGCCACATGCCTTTGAATAATCTCACAATATGCTCAAGTAACACATTAACAAATGACCTTAGGAGACACCATATAAATTTACTGCTAGTCAGCTAATTATTTACAGTGAGAGGATGAAAGCCCAACTGGGATGATCCCAGTGGATTTAATTTTGAATAATGCAGTTACCATCCATCTACTATCTTTCAGATTTTCAAGGCTATCTTAGTCAAAACTAAGATGAAAGAGAAATCTGAGTATTGAAAGATTGTAGCAGACATTTTAACAAGGACCAAGCTGGCTCCTCCAGGTTTGCTTGGTGCAGTCGAGAGCAAAAGGATAAGGATTGTCACAAGATAAATACTCACAGACCATTAAGGGTCAACATACAAACCATTATTTGCCATGACTGTCTTAACCTTTTGACCACAAGTTATAACTAAGAACTAAATACAGGTGTATCCACAAGGACAATAGAATGACTACACCTGAGATTACAGAACAGGTATGTTAACACTGACATCTAGCGTGAAAAGAAGCTGGAAGAATGCCTCAATTTACAAATGTATTCAAGAGCCAACCTGTCATCTTACTAGAACAAAGCTGCAGCATCTAAGTAACAGGAACAAACTTCCAATACTGTAGAAGAGACCACTCTTCTCACTTATTCAGTTCCTAAAACACATTATCCTAACAAGCTAACCCTTACTGTGCTTTGCAGGTACTCCAAAGAAAAATAAAATTTAAAAAATCAAGACCCTTAAATTATTATCTAAATTAACATAATTTAAAAAGGGCAATTGGGAAGGCAAACTGTGTTCTCTCATAACTCATGATTCAGACACTCGGTTTTTTTACTGCCATCCATACAATATCTCCCTGTGTACATACAAGAAGAAAAAACTACTAAGCACTTTACAGGCCAAAAAGCCTGGAGATACTGGAAGAGAGCACACAGCTAATAATAACCTATTGAATCTCCTTGGAATACAATGTTCAGTCTAAACCAGAAATGTATACCAGCATGGAAAAAGGACAGGAACTTTTCCTGAAGTATTCCACCTGAGATCCTCTCTTCCTAATTCAAAGACCTGATAACTTTTTCAAAGCTTCTCCTCCTTTTCCTTTAAAAGCTGCAGCTCACTTGGGAATTCCTGTTACAGAACAGACTCCCTCTAAAAGCTGATTAAGCGTATTTGTGTGGAAATGCCCTGGAAACGCATGAAGGAGCTCGAGCAGACAAGCAGCTCTCACACATCCAATCTAACAAAGAAAAGCTTGTGTGAATTTCAAACAATGTGAAAACGCAACATTTGTAAAACTTCTCCTGAAAGTTAAATCACTTCATGTCAAAATGTGATATTCTGCTTTTCTATAGCAATTACATTTACTACTTGAAAATTACTTTAAGGAATGCATCGTAAAAAAAACCTGAAAGCAGAATCTAAGAAAAACAGAATCAAAACTGGGATTGACTATCCCCACTGACAAAAGGCATAAAAGCAGTTCAGGAATCGCTGACTTGGTGGGATGTTAAATCAACTCCCCAAAATACATAGCAGAACTTCAATACAGAAACAGACAGCTCTGGAGACTTTTTTATCACCCTCATCCCATTTCCAAAACACAGATATTTAAGAGAATTATGACAATGCAGGAAACAGTATCATTTTATTCACACTAAAGAAAAAATAATACACATTTCCTAAGTGAAACTAAGATGCTGCTGGAATACATTATTTTCAAGATTCTCAACACCAGTTTTTGAACTGAGATTTTCCATTTCTGAGCAAGTTTACATAATTCAAATGGAAGTCACAGACATGATGGGGAAGTTACTGAGGGAGGTGTTATGATTTATTTTTAGGCAGACTAGATTGTAATATTCTCTCCTGGTGAAATCAAATTTGCATCATCCTATTAGTAAAGTACAGATTTCACACTTAAAGCTCAAAACCTCTTGGACCCAGAGAGCAGAAACTCTTTGACTGTTACTTAAACTGCCTAAAGAGATAGCAATCACACTTTGGGTCCCAGTTCTCTACTTTATTGAATACACAATACTTACAAGCCCTTTCAGCTACCGAGTTGTCATTCTTGAGGGAAAGGGACACTGCTGTAAGGATTAGAAGGTGATGCATTCGAAACAAAGAAAGACAGGATGGGTGCATTTGCTTCTGATTTGAAAAAGTAAACTCAAAGAATGTCACCTCTAAATGCTAGAAATAAAATTTCTGACATTATGATATCTATCCTTTTCATCTTCAGAATTGATTCCTTTGTCATGTGTTTCTGCAGACCTTAAAATTAACATAGATCTGTTTATATTCACTACTGTACTTTTGCAACAGAGTCATCAATGTCAACAGAACACACGAAACACACTGTGTTATAACAAGGGCAGTTTGGTGGATGTCAGTATATTGGAAAATAGGAGCCAGAACAATTATCTATTCTAACAGGTATATGGAAACGATGGAAAGGGGAAGATTAGTCACGAGTTTTGTCAGTCCTGTTTCTTTTTAAAACAGAGAGCAAAGATTTAATTTCTGAGTTGTCAGCTCTTGGCTGAAATGATTAGGCTGAACTGTCCATGGCTACAGTCAACACGACTATCAGTAAACTCGATACTTGCTTCCTGCAGGATACTTAGCAACTTCTTTCACTGCTCTATTTGTACAGGATTTGATCATGTTAAGCCATATAAACTTTATCAACTTACATTATCAACTGGTACCATCCCGTGCTACAAAGAGCGGTATTTTGGAGAAGCATTAAATTGAGTTTATGTGTAAAAACTTGCTCAAACCAGCAATATTTTTGTTTTGCATTGTGCTGAATCTTAAAGCTGCTCGCCAGTTTTGTCTCCTTTACTTCTTCTGGTGGGATAGCTTTGCTCAGTGTAAATACACATACCAGTTTATTATGCTGTGCAGTTCACAGAGACAATCAAATAAAATGAACAAACATGCATAACAGAGCACAAGAGATAAAAGCTGTTACTCTGTAAAATTGAAATATTACAATTGCAGAGGAAAAATATCACCACCTTCATCACTGCAAAATTATGGTATTTTTAAAAATATGTCCTTTAGTGTTTTATGCAAGAAGACCTTTTTTTCAAGGACTTGGCAGATTACAAACGCTTGTGGCAGAGACATGGAACCCACTTTTCATGGGAAAACTGCCTAAATTAATAAGCCAGTTTAGGTTTGTTTTGGTTGGGAAGGAGGAAGAGCGGGCTGTTTGTTTAATGGAAAGTTGCTAAGGAAATTGTAGCCATAGGTTTTCCAAAAATAAACCATTATTTTTCACTGCAGAAACTCTTTATAAAGAACAAATTCACTCACACACACACATAAAAATTATCATAGATTTAGACATATATGACTTAAACATCAATCTTTATAAATCCCAAAAGGCCTAGGGTACAGGGTGGGAAGAAGAAAGAAATGCACTTTCATCTCTTAGCTGCATCAGTCTTTCAAGAGTATGAATATGAACAGCCTCACCGATTTCTGACCTTAACTAAGATCAACTTTCTAAGGTGTATCTTTTTGCAGATCTTTGGTGTTAAATTATTATTATGAAGCATTCAAAATCTAAAACCAGAAATTCTGTATGTACTGAATTATCTATAGCTAAAGTACCAACACAGAGGTAGACAATCCCCAATATTTTTCTTTTGCAGATTTAGACTGAAACCTAAATTCAAAAATAACCTTCTCTTCATTGTCAAAGAATGTGATTCAACTATGAAACTACGTGTTTACAACTTCTATGTACTCTTTACAGAGAAACACTTACAAGAGATTATAAACTTCCATCAATATGTGAAAATTCAATTATTTTTTCTGTAGGTAAGGACAGTCTCAAAACCAATTGCATACTGTTTGGTGCCAATGACACTAATGACAGCTGCCAAAACAACTAACATTGTTTTCCTACAAGCTATCCTATAACTAAGTTTTTGAAAGATCATAGCCAAGAAGGGCATCAAGGT